TCTGATACATAATAATGTTCTTATGCTGTGTAGCAAGTTTGAGGTGATTCCGACTTCAATTTTTCAAGTTACGGCCATTTTAAGAAAACGTCAAAATTCTGAAAAATACCCAAGGCTATAGCCCATGGATTTTTTCCAAAAAATGGCTCCGAAATCACCCCAAATTTTTATTACATTTTCTGATACATAATAATGTTCTTATGCTGTGTAGCAAGTTTGAGGTGATTCCGACTTCAATTTTTCAAGTTACGGCCATTTTAAGAAAACGTCAAAATTCTGAAAAATACCCAAGGCTATAGCCCATGGTTTTTTCCAAAAAATGGCTCTGAAATCACCCCAAATTTTTATTACATTTTCTGATACATATTGATGTCCTTATGCTGTGTAGCAAGTTTGAGCTGATTCCGACTTCAATTTTTCAAGTTACGGCCATTTTAAGAAAACGTCAAAATTCTGAAAATTACCTAAGGCTATAGCCCATGATTTTTCCAAAAAATGGCTCTGAAATCACCCCAAATTTTTATTACATTTTCTGATACATATTGATGTCCTTATTCTGTGTAGCAAGTTTGAGGCAATTTCGACTTCAATTTTTCAAGTTACGGCCATTTTAAGAAAGCGTCAAAATTCTGAAAAATACCCTGTACTATAGCCCATGGTTTTTTCCAAAAAATGGCTCCGAAATCACCCCAAATTTTTATTACATTTTCTGATACATATTGATGTCCTTATTCTGTGTAGCAAGTTTGAGGCGATTTCGACTTCAATTTTTCAAGTTACGGCCATTTTAAGAAAGCGTCAAAATTCTGAAAAATACCCTGTACTATAGCCCATGGTTTTTTCCAAAAAATGGCTTCGAAATCGCCCCAAATTTTATTACTTTTTCTGATACATATTATGCTCTTTTCTCTTACCTGTACGTGTTGCTTTATTTTCTTATTATCTTTCCCATCAGATGCTAGAGACTAACGTGTTTGATGACGTCAATAAACTCTCTCCACTTGAAGCCCAGCGCTCCAAGTCTCTTGATATGGTCCTCGAGGAAGAAGAACAGGAATCCATTAGACAAAGAACAGCCTCCAACTCTTTCTTTGGGAAGTTCTTCAGACCTAAGAGACAAGTAACGATTGATATACCTTGATAGACACAGACATCAGTTATAACGTAGACTCCATTAGCAGCTGTCCTGCTGGATATTAATACAACACTGGCACTCACCTACCACTACTAATGCACCTGACACCACTTCACCTACTCAACAGACACTAA